GACTAGCGTGTTAGACTGGCATAGGCGAATTTTCGTAAGCTGTCTGAAATATAGATGGATATGAGTTGAAGAATAGCAACGAAGAGTGCGATCTTGAAGGCGGCTTAATTCGTTGTGCTTATATTGTACAGTCCTAAGTGTCTGCTGAACTGAAACGTAATGAATCTTATTTCTGTAGCTTTCCACAGCACTGTATACCACGTGTTCTCAAACAGTGGTAGTACAGCCGTGCTACGCATCATCAGTTCTGACATTCTGTGTGTTACATTTGTTGGTAAAGAAACGCGTCGACTGTAGTAAATAAGACCCTTCCACATCTGTTTGATGTTTAGGTTTTCTGGCTGTGCATCCAAAGATAGGTTGTTTTTGTTGAATTTTGGGCCCAGAATCTCGTTTTCTCAAGGAAATTCTGAATATCTTTCACATTACGGCCGAAAATGACCATCTGTTTTATTGAAATTGATTATGTTCATTATGACAGAGTGTTATGTTTTGTTTTTTTGTGGCTTGTGGTCGCACTAAGCTTAACTGTCACTCGAAGTTGAAAGAACGACTTCAAACTAATAGTAGTCTTATATGTTGATTTCGAGTGGTACCTGTTACACTGGACTATCTATTCTTATAACCGCCCAATGAATGAACCTAATATATGATAAGCTTGACATGCGTTGTCACTTGATACGGATTTGTGCCAACTCTGGGAATACACGTAGTTCCCATTTTATTTGCGGCTGCAAATAGGGATAAAACCTCGTTCTGGTGAGTACTGCGTGTTGCGGAAAGAGCAACTATTCGATTTGTTGAAATAATGATGAAGAAAGACTAGGTTAATGCAGCATTTTTCGTTCGAATTGGTAAAAGTTTGGGTTATTCACAGTTGATTGATGATTACTGTTCAAATTCATTAAGGGGCTTCGTTTGTAAATATGAATGATATATTATTTTTTTCTGCGTTAGCTATGTGTGGCGCTGTCTTCAACAAGAGAGCGAAATGTGATCTATTACGACATTGCGCAAGGAATCGGAGAGCCTGTAGGTTTAGGCGACCTAGTTGAAATCGAATACACCGAATACCTTATTGAAAACGGTCCTCGAGTGACGGTAGGAAAAATTCCCTTGTCTACTTTCGCATAACATTTACTTTAGGAATTTAATGGGAATTTACATTCCGATCGTCTGTTAAAAGTTCGAATAGGCAAAGACAAGGTGCCAAAGGTAGGTCTGCTTCAGTTCGATCGAAGAATGACGTGGTGACGTTGTCAAGCGTTTCAGGGCTGGGAAGAAGGCCTGCTTACTGTTCGCAAAAACGGAAGACGCATCTTTTTGATACCGCCAGATGTCGGTTGCTCTTTGCACGATTCAAGCTCGTCAAAAGTTCCTATCATTGTCTACGTTCACATAAAGAACGTGCAAACTGCTTTCGATCCGTGCATTCGACGAACGGCGTCGACCAGTTCTAGCAGAATCGTTAACGGTCGTCATTCTCGCAGGTTTGAATAAGAGTAAAATGCAACGGAGTGTTTAAACGTTAGAATTAGCTACTACCTTGCTTTCATCAGCTTATACGTTTTCCTTGAATTAGTAATACTTACAGAGGGTTTTATTCGTTTTTCACATGTTAACGCGTAGCATCTTGCACATTAAAAGTCGAGAGAACGAAATTTTTAAGGCATTTCTAGAGCTGTTGCCTTGTCGTTCATTGATAAAAAGTTGAACATTGTTTTGAACCGCTGAGTGTCGGTATCCTCATTAGTCGTTTAGTATTTATTTATGCGTATTTGAATTCAGCAAGTCAAAAAATTCTACATGGCAAAAGACGTCCGATTGGTAATGCAGTGACACCGAAGTCGTTCACTGCAGGTCTAGAAGAGGTTTTCATGGCACTGCAGTTAAAAAATCAGAGCTGATGGTATATGTGAATTCAGTCACCCGCAATTTGTCGACAAAGTCAGCAGAGGAACTCCGGAGAAGGGATGAATTCAATGTCATTAGTTCAGAATGAACCCGAAAGAAACTGAAATCATGTTCGTTAGAGTCAATGGAATTTTGTTTGAAGATGTACAAAACTACTGTTTTCTGAGGCAGCTGATTTTTGCGACAGAGAATTAACTCTATGAAATCAACAGAAAAGTAAAAATGGCTTAGAACGCCTTCGGAAGATTAAAATGCTATGAACTGA